AACATCAAAAGACGAGTTACTTTGTTAAACTTTAATATAAATTTCCATTTTTGTTGCTGGGAATAGACTCGAAGATTTAACAGAGCAAATAAACTGAAATAAGAAAGTCAGGAAATGGTCCACATTTTGTTTAAAAAAATTGTGTATTTTTGCAAGGCTATTATATTAATTGAAACTCACAAAATAATGAAAACTTAAACTAACTGGAACTATAATGCGTGTTTATGAAACACACTAAAACGTACTGAAATCATAGCTATAACTTGTTTTGTGTTTGTGTTTATGAATATATTTATCAGCCTTTTTGAATTCTGCACCAAAAATTAGCCAAAGCAAAAACTAAAACTAGTACTATAATGAAGACTAAAACGAAACATTTAACTAATAAAAACATGCACTTAAAAACTAATCAAAGCTAATTGAATTAGACAAATAAAAAGTTACAATGTAATAATACAATATTGAAAAAAAGCTAAACTATTATGAACCGCCTCTTTTTTCATCAAAATGTCTTTAATTTATTGCCGAGCAATAAAAAAATTATGGTTTTCTTTGCAACTTTTATGATGAATGAATTTCTATTAAAAACTTTGGTAAACCGTTCAGTGTCTGCAGGTTCATGTGTTCACACAGCTCACTGGGAGAATAATTGTCCCTCTTAAGTGTTTGTGGCTCTCCATACCAAAGGTTAACCAGAAGGTGTGAAGCTATAAAAGAAACACAAAACATCATTTGCAAGTTGGGAGCAAAGTTCATCCTGATAACAGTCGCCGGTTGTGCCATAAAGGAACTAGATATAATGCAACGAAGAGAGACTTCTCTCTTTTTTCAGTTGACTGTTGTTAACATTCTGCTTGACTAAATGTCAATCTTTTGAAGGCTTTTTGAAACACTAGTTTCTAAGATTAGAAACTGTTTCAGAAAGCATTAGTGTTTTGAAACACCGGCGAGGGAAAACAAAATTGTGACGTATAACACTTGACTGGTTTGGCGAGTTCTTCCAAAAGGCTAATTTTTGTTTCTTTAGTGAGGCTTTTGGCATGCGGCTAGCATTTGGACATTTGTTGAACGTGAATGAAAGGTGTGCTGTCTATTTCTAATTGCAGTTGCAGCACTGTAGATCTGTTTGACCTGTAAAACTCCACCCTGTGCGTTATCTGACAGGCAGGATCGCTTGGCAGCAGCAGTGTGGAAGCAGCCACTGACATGAGGAACCTGGATTAATTTCGACCGTCATGACTAGGCTTAGGTGGCCCAGGGTAGGCTTTGGCCTGCTGAATTCACTACAAAAATGGCAGCGGCAGCTCTGTCCGTAAGTGATATTTGTGTACGGACTGGTGGTGGACTCTGTTTGCTGAACTACCTGCTGCTTTCTTTTGGACTTTTAAGATGGCGGCTTGGGATTCTTCTTACTGCTGTAGAGCTTTCCAAATTCAAGATTGGGTGTGAAAAGAAAGGGAAATTTTAGTGGCACCAATCCACTTTTTTTCACCGCTGATTCCGATACAGAAAACCAAAGCTGGACTAATTATAACGTTTCTTTTTCGTGAACACAGGTAACTCTGCACCATTACAGCACATTTAAACACATCAAAAGCTTTAGAAGCGAGATCAAACATGTAAAAACAACTTTATTTTGTTCAGTCTGTAAAATTAGGACCAGGCATCTCCAGTTTTAAGTGGGATCTTTGTTAAACTACTAAAGAATCTGCCATAACACAAAGCACAACTCTGTTTAAAAATGTATCTTTAAGGCTTCTGCGCCTTATTCCCAAAAGAGTTTATTTACAACTTTTACAATTTCTTCATCAATTCTGCATCCAAACTTTTACAAACAAAGTAATTAAGCGTTTATGAAGAGCTGAAAGTTTCAAATGTGACCTTTTGTGTAGCCAAATCGTTTTAAAATGAACTTCAACATAAGAAATGTGCAGTTGTCTTGTATTTTTTTTGTGCATATATTAATAGATGTGCAGCATTCACATGTTTTCACTGTTTATTTTTTGGTGTCAGCTCTTGGTTAGTTGATACCATTTTTTTTCTGAATACCTGGAGAAAATTTGGTTTCTCCACAAAAGATTTCATAAATGTAAAAAATAAATAGTGAAATAAATAAAAGAGCATTTTCATACTCTGTCAACACCCACTTTGGTTCCTTTGGGGCGATTCTAACTTCCAGGCAGAAAGAGAAACCTTCTGAAACCTGCTCTTGTTTTAAGCTCATCTTTCATCTGTTGGAGTCAAATTTCTTAATGAGTTGTTTTGTTATCAAAACCGACCTGTCTGGTTAATTGAGACAGCTTGTACAAATACAAAAAAAGTTTATGAGAAAAGTATGATTGCAATTTGGAGGTGGAATGTGTCTCTAGTAACGCACATCACAGTCTGACCAGGTTTTCAATTGGAATAAAAGGTTTGCATGACTTGCACCGTTCGAGCTGTAAGTGACTTTATATGTCACTTAGACATCTTTTGTTTATTTTTTTCTAAATGTGAAAACTCTAGAGCTAACACGAGGTGCACTTTCCTTCCACCGTGCCTGTCCAAACCCGTGTGCATTTTTCTCTTGGCGTTAACGTGACCAAATCAAAACATTTCACAGCCCGCAAGCGCCACAGAAACAGAAAGGAGAGCGAGAGGCCGGGCCGCCTCAATCTGCAGGATTTACCAGAAGAGCCGCCGTGGTCAAGCCCCAAATTGATTTCTGTTCTGGCCCGAGCGCAGGCGGCCTGACTTAGTCATATGTGCTTTGCGCCATTGTTAAATATGGTTTTATTTGCAACAGGGCGACCGCAGCAGTATTTAGTTCCAGACTGCCGGTCTGTTTTTCCTAAACCCTGCGCTCTGGATTCAGAAGGGTTTGTCGCTGCTGGCTTTGACTCCTGCTGCTAGAGTTACAGGTCATTTTGCGAGTGGAAGGTTTGAAGCGGATGTGACCGGGTCACGGCTGCCTCTCCGATATTCCAACACGCATGGCGTGATTTTTACTTTTACTCATTCATTACTGTTTTACCATAAGTTCTCCACATATGCTCGGCCTCCTGGTGCAGACGCAGCTCTAAATGTGGCGGTGATTTAATGCGTTGCTTGTTTTTATGCACAAACGAGACATTTTGTCAGGAATGTCTGGAATTTTCTGGTGCTCACACTCTTCACTGCTGGGTTCCCGCACAGAAGGGATGCTGAGGACGCTGGTAGTGTCTTATGGCCAAGTTGATAAATCAGATCTGTGGAGTTATCGCAGCATCTGCTCTTCTACTGGACCTGGAGGACTTTCCACTGCAGTGGCACGCGGTCCAACTCGTTTGAAAGTGAGCCTTCCAGTTCACTCGAGTCGAGAGCGAATTCTTGCAGCTGGTCTTTTTTTTTATTTTATTTTTTATCCCCATTCGTTGAAACTTTTATAAAAATGGAAAACATTTGAAAACAGACCGATTTCTGGGACTTGCTTGAACATAATCTGAGCTTGGATCTCTTTCTCACCTCTCACCTTGTCGTCTGTGTTTCAATCGTTGTTGTTCTGATTTCATTTTTCTGTGCAACTCTCACATCGCATGCAGTTTTTTGCAGAAGGACTTGATTGTGTGGAACCTTTTTCTATATTTTGTCTTGTTAAAATATCAACCTTCACTGTATATCATCGGGGCTTTTATTAGGCATGTCGACACAAAGTAGTGACACGTGGTGATGATAGCAGTAGCAGCGGCATTTTTGGCCATTACAAATCTGGAAAGTGTGGTCTGGTTTTGTATTTTGCCCCTCTTATACAAAAAAAGAAAATCCAGTACAACAAACTGCCTCCAGGTCTCGCGTAATTAGTGAATGAACTTTACTTCTGTATAATTTATCGAGGCCCACAACCAAACGACACAAGACAGTGTAGTTGGTTGTGGGCGGGTTGAAAGTAGGATTTTCAACCCGATAAAAGAGATTGTGTCCAAATGAGACCCAAGATTGAACAACCTGCGAAATGTGCATGGAAGAAACTGAACTCTGCGGTGGCAGCATCATGCTTTTTGGTATCTTGAAGCTTACAAAATGCTGTTGGAGGTTGGGAAAAAAAAAACATTAGGGTTTATTATGATCCATGTCGTCATCACAATCCCCCTTGGGCTAAAATCACCTAGCATTAGCTTAAAGCAAAGCCTTATTCATATCCTGGCCCAGTCAAAGTATAGACACACTGCACAAAATCTTACCAAGTATATTTGGTCAACTTTCTGGAACAAATGTCTCAGTACACTTGCAATAAGACAAAACTAACTTACAAATAACTTTTCAGCAAGATGTAAAACAAGCAAGAGGTTGTTTTAGGTCAGTTATTTCTTTATACTGATAAGAAAAAAATACTAGTACAGATGGCAGATCATTTTATTTATGACGAGACTTTTTTCACATTATGATTTAAATAATCTACCAGTAGAACTCGTAAGTTTTTACAATTATCAAGCTACAACAAACTCTCACGTCTTGCTGAAAATGTTTTTTTTTTTTTTGTATTTCAAGGGTAGTAAACTAGAAACTCAAACAAAATATGCTATGAAATATTTTGTTTTTGCTCTGCATCAATCCAGTTGAGGATTCGCTATTCAGCTCCAGTCTTAGTTAAAGTGATTCTTGCTAAAAATGACCGTAAATGCATCATCTTCAAAGTTGATAGATACGTAATGCAAAAGATTTCCAGCTGCAGGAAAAGGTGTTCAATCTGAGTTTTGAAGGTCTAATACAATTGTACGTCCAACTACAAAATGCTTGTGGAAAAAAACATGTTTTCCTAATTCTTCACAACTGCGAGGTTATTCTGCATGACTCTGTCACATGACCTCTCTTTGAACTCCATCGAGTTTCCTCATTCCAACAGAACAAGTGTGAAGATGTCAGAGCCTGGTGCTTTACCGGGTCTGTGTGCTGAGCTAGCTTCCTCAGCCTGTGGACTGGTGGAGGATGTCACGTTTTTACTGACACATTTTCTCGTTTCTGTCTGCTTCTTTCCCCATCAGGATGAAAATGCGGCGGCACAGAGTGTTCTTGCTGTGCACGGTGGGTCTGTGTGTCATCTCCTTCCTCCATTACTACAAGGCCCTGCACTACGTCTCCCTGCTGCGCGAGCTCTCCGCTCCGTACCCCAACATCAAGTCCTTCATCATGGTCTCGGGCTTCTTCTGGAGAGAGAAGGGCGTCTCTGCCACCCCGCTCAGTCCCGCCTCTCCTGAAGAGGCCCCGCCGCTGCCCGCCCTCCGTCAGGGCGCAGTGAAGCCTGGCGGAGGGGCCGGGTCTTTAGGGGACGGAGGTGGAGGAGGGGCAGCAGTAGACCCGGGAGTGTTGGACCCCAACGCCAGAGTCGCCGGCATGGCCGGCATTAAACTTTTCGAGGTGAGAGCGATGAAGGAGCCGGCGCCTCCACATCCCTGGGAAAAACCAGAGGAGAACCACCTGGGAGACTCGTCAAGAGAGGTTCAACACCCTGGCTTTCTGAGTTACTGCATGCTGACAGTGCATGCAAAGTGGAATATATGGCTATGTGGCTGAAGCTTCCAGCTTCGACATCACAATTTAAAGTTAAAGAGAAAAGCTTAGACTTGTCTTTTTTCTTGTCGGGATGGTCGATCCATCTTTGTCCAAATGAAGGCAGAGGAGGATGGTGACCTGAGTTTGGTCACCATCCAATCTCTACCATGGATGTTAGAGATTGTTTTGGGGTTTTTTAAGTTTTGATTAACTTTTTGTTGAATAGTTTGTTAGAGTTTTTTCAACACAGGTTTAAATAGATTCATGATGTCCTCACCTTTCTAAAATGATGGCCTACGTCACTTATTTTTGCCAAAGGGATTTTATTTATGTTTTTTTGCCTAAATCATCTTTTGGCAAAAAAAGACTTAGACCATAATTTTAGGAAAGTAGCATAATATAAGACCTTCTCACTCCCATCATCAAGATGGTCCAAATGTATTCTGACAAAAATAATTTTTGCTTTTGGCTTGTCAATATATCTCAATTTGAAAGATAAAATATGTCTCTTATGTGGAGTGGTAAATATTAAGATAATGACTTTTTTTTTACACTTTGTTGTTTCTGTGTTCAATTCTACAACAGAGCAGAGAGCCATATGACGGCTAACTTTCAGATTTTGCTCCTCCATATGAGCAATCCTCTTTGACCTAAAAGTCTCCACAAGCAAAACATAATTTTGTGCATGTCACACTGTCACGTTTTAGTTAGCACTGCCAACTTTTGTATATTTTTTTAATGTAATTCCTCCAACTGAGAACTTTTTTTTAAAAAATCTTTCAAAGGTTTAGTAGACAACTCTTATTTCTAGAGCGATCGTTTCTCAAATAAACTTACTTTCAGAGTTAGCTAATAGTAAATACGTGGTATATGAAATACCAGGGTATTTACCCGCAGTGTACCTGAACTCTTTCTTATCTTCTCTCTTCCTAGAAACAAAGTGAGGATCGTCACATTGAGCCCAACCTACAAAAACTGCGGGAACAATTAGAAAAAGAAAAGCTGTCCGACCCGATAAAGTCCATGGGCGACCTTCACACCCGCAGTCACCAGCTCCAGGACGACAAAACCTCGTATTTTGTGCGTACGAGTCGTGGGGCCTACTGTTTCAGACAGGGGACGGAGATCAAGGAATCCTCTGTAAAAGCAGCAGCGGGTGTGGCTGGTGACGTTTTGGACGTGGATAAAGCCGCTCAGCGGAAACCTCTGGGGCTTCAGCAGCAGCAGACCGGGAAGGCAAAGGGCAAAGGTCAGCCTTTGGGCAGCGGGAAGCAGCTGGTGAAGTGTGTTTGCCGGCCGGGCTGGCACGGACCTTACTGTGGGGTTCCCACCATGGTGTACCACTCCAACCTGCCGACGAAGGAGCGGCTGACGCCCAGAAAGACGCCGCGGAGAGTCATCAACGCCATCAACATCAACCACGAGTTCGACCTGCTGCACACGCGCTTTCACGAGCTTTCGCAGGCCGTGGATTTGTTCCTGGTGTGCGAGTCAAACTTTACCGCATATGGAGAGAAACGGCCGCTGAGGTATGGCACAATGTTCATTTCTTCATTTGTTCTTCATTTAATCATTTTGAAACTGGATAGTGCAGAGCATCAAATGCGTGTTGCTGGAATCATTAAATCCTGGTCTCACTCGTTTCTGGTCGTCCTTTTTCTTGTGGATTTCGTTTTTTGTTGCGTTCGCCTCAACATTGTTGCTGGCCATTCATCTTGGTCAGGTTCAAAACAAACGTGTCAAATTAAAATAAGCCAATGTTAGCTATTTTCACGGCTCCGAAACAAGATTTATGTTTTGGTTGCTGCTGCAGCTTTCCTGATGCTGCCGTTCCTGTCGATGCTCTGCTGAATGCCTGATTTAAGGTCCTCAATACCAGAGAAGCTCTATTCATGCTCTACGCTCCCATCCAAACAAACTGTTGTTGCTTTGAGTGTCTTTCTTTTCTTTTTTTCCCTTCTACCTTCCCTCTTTTGTACACAGTCGTTCTTAATGCTTGTTGAGACTCGGTGTGCAGAATAATAATTACAGTTTGGTTTCTTTGGCAACGACGTGCAACACCTTGAAAGCAATTTTCCAGCAGATTATGACGAACGGCATGATTGACTGGGCGAGGAGGGAGATTGGTGTGTTCAATCACAGGATGTGGCACAGCATGAAAGCTACACACACTGCTTTTTTTTTTTTTTTGGCTACGCGTATCAACAGGTTAATAGAGTAGCTCGTCTCAGGAAGTCTGGCGTGTGTTGAGCAGGCTCGTCTGTGCAGAAAGGTGGTGTTTTCCAAGCTGAATGCCCAACGGATTCGCTTTGCATCTCCGTTGGGTTTTCAACCCAACAGTGGTCATCTGGCCTCGTCGGTTTCCGTTGAATCATAATTCATTTTTAATTCACCAAGGGAAGTGGTTAGGCAGAGAAATGTGATTTCAGCAGCTTTACAGAGACTCTTCATTCCAAATAAAACTCTGAAATTTTTCTATGAAGGCCGTAGAGATTTGTTGGAGAAGATCTATCAACGAAAAGCATCACAAAGTCCAAAGAACACCTGAGTCGGGTCAGCCATGATGGTTAAACCAGGATTCTACAACTTTTTCCCAAACATCTAACAGCAAAGTTCAGTTTATCTGAAATTGAACAGTTTTACATTGACTACAAACCTACTTAACCTGGAGTTCAAATCAAGTAACGTTGAAGTGTTGTCCCAGTCGAAATCAGACCTAACTTCAATTAAGAGTCTGTGGAATAAATTGAAACTCTATGAGTGAGGCTGGCAGAGACACAATCCAAAACACTTCTCACTGTCACTGGAGGAAAAGGTCTACAAAGTGCTGACTTGGTTGAATTACAGCTACACCATTCTTTTCATTTTTTATTTGTAAAAAATGCTGAAAACCATGTGTCGTTTTGGATTCCCATCGTCCAAGGGATGAAGGGGCCAACAGATAAACCCGTTGATCTATCGCTTGGTGATAGACCAACCAGTTTGTGTTGGTTTATCGCATCATATCATATTAAATGCATAAGTGTGACAAAATGAGGCACCGTGAGTTTGAAATGACTGACCGTGAGCTGGTTCTGGCTGAAGTTAAGCGAACTGGAAAAGGCGACTTTAGTGTTGACAATTTTCTTTTATCTGTCTCCCCAGTTTCCTGCGTCTCCTTCTGAACGGAACGTACGACTACGTCCGTCATAAGATCCTTTACGTGTTCCTCGACCACTTCCCCGACGGCGGCCGGCAGGACGGATGGATAGCCGACGACTATCTGCGGACGTTCCTGACACGCAACGGCTTGTCCAGGGTGAAGGGGGCCAGGTCGGACGACGTGTTCGTCATCAACGATGCCGACGAAATCCCAGCGCAGGAAGGCCTCCTTTTCCTCAAGCTGTTCGACGGCTGGACCGAACCGTTCGCCATACACATGCGAAAGGTAACGCAAGCGGTACGCCGTGGGGTGGCGTGTGCACGGCGACCGTATGGCGCAGCTGTGTGTAACTGTGGTTGTTTCTCTGTTTCCAGTCTTTGTACGGCTTCTTCTGGAAGCAGTTCGGGACTCTGGAGGTGGTGTCCGGCTGCACGCTCAGGATGCTCCGCGACGTCTACGACGGCGACGGCATCAAGCTGCGGCGCCGCGAGTACTACACCATGCCGGGCTTCCGCAAGTATGAGAACGACACGGGCCACATCCTGGTGCAGTGGTCCGTGGGGAGCCCCTTCCACTTCGCCGGCTGGCACTGCTCCTGGTGCTTCACGCCCGAGGGGATTTACTTCAAGCTGGTGTCGGCGCAGAACGGGGACTTCCCCAGGTGGGGGGACTACGAAGACAAACGCGACCTCAACTACATCCGGGAACTGATCCGGACAGGGGGCTGGTTTGACGGCTCCGTGCAGGAATATCCCCCTGCGGACCCCAAAGAGCACATGTTCGCCCCCAAGTACATGCTGGAGAACCATAAAAGGTTTCACTACCTCCTAGAGAACCCTTACAAACACAAAGTCCAGAACGAATGAAGTCTAAGAGATCACGCTTTGGGAGAATACCTAACAGAAGTGCCCGAGAGTGGCCTTCGCACTGAGCTCTGGAGGTGGGCTGACACCGACGGACAAAATCTCGACGGACGATGACGGCGAAGGTGATGCGAGGATTTAAAAGCTCTTCAAATTATTTTGGGGTTTTAAAACGGGAACACAAAAATGACAACAATGGGTTTACAAGTTCAGTGTTGGTGGGACGAAACCCCTGGATGAACAAAAATAAAAAGTAAAAAATATCACTGCTTTCCACGTCGTTCCGTCGTCACAGTGAGAGGCCAAGCTATTTCTCCTCGCCTGCTTACTTTGTATCTCATCCGCCACTGGAAACACTTGTAGGAAGAAAAATAATAATAAAAAAAAAGGCAGGGAAGCAACAAGCGTTTTAATTATATTTTATTTTTTGCCTGTTCCTGTCTGCTTTCACTGAAGTTTACAACCTGCCAGACGCTCGGCTTTCAATCCCCTCGCTCTCTGATGTCTTCCTGTCATAGTCGGTGACCTCCTTCAGAGCCGGACGCATGTTCAGAAGCAAAACATGGAGATCTCAAGGTCTGCTGAGAGTACCAAACAAGTATCACAGGCTTCTGCTCACGTTCATGGTCATGCACCTTAAGCTCGTCTGCGTGGTTGTAAATAGTGTGTGTGTGTGCGTGTGTGTGCGCTCTGTGTTGGTGCCGTTCGGACTAAGAAAATCAATGCGAGTAAAGAAGGTTCATAAAGAAAAAGGGGTGGCGTAATGAAAAGGATATAAAATGAAATACCACATGGATGGTGTGTGCTGAGTTGGGAGTGTGTTTTTCAGAGGTTAGGGAGGGATTTGAGCGAAACGTTTCGGTCCCATCAGGGGAGAATCGAGAGAAGCTGCAGCCTTAGGTTTTCAGATCCGTCCGGTTAGCAGCTGGGGTGGCCGGGTTTTCCGTGGCATCTCGCAGAGAAGGAGTGGTGGTGGTGTGGGGCGAGGATGTTCACACGTCGGTGCTTAGATGGTCTGAACCGTCCTCAGGACGATTCGCTGCCAACGCTCCTCCGAGGGTTTCCTGTCCCCATATTCCTTCCAATGTCCCGTCTTGTTTTCCATTCTCCATTTTTACGCTCTTTAAGTTCCTCATCTTGATGTGTTAAGTCAGATGAGTTGAAAGTGGCCCAGTTTTTACTTTTGCTCTCTGTTAGAAATGCACCAGTCTTTCAGGGAGACATTGAAACCTGCCAATATTCCCCTGATTGGCTCTGATCACTTTGATCAATGAGTACAGGAAAAAATGTCACCATAACAAATTTTATTGGACAATAAATTGCCCCAGTAATTATTGCGATAAACGATAGTACTGACATTTTGAGACAATTTTCAACTTATGTAACAATAATGACAATAAAAAATGGAAATGGAAATAAAAAAGCAACCGCAACATAAATAAAATGGATTATGAAGTTTCTGTAAACTAATAAATATTTATCATCAGAATTCACATTTTAAATCATTTTCAATTGAATTGATTATTTCTATAAACTTACTTCCCACCATTTTTCTCAAAGGACACCAACTCATCTACATTCATGCATTTACTTTGAGTCTAATAAACTTAATGCAGGTTAGGAACATATGCTTTGGTTCATAAATTCAAATGATATTTTACCTGCTGTAAAAAAAAACAAAAAACCTGCATCTTACTCAGGATAAGCTTAAATCAGTACTACAAGTGGAAGCTGGCAGCTGTTGTATTTCAAAGCCTTTGTATGAAAGTTATTTTATTGATTTTTAAATCATCTTTATTTAAAACGTCTTTTTTTCTGCAAAGAAGCTGATAAATATGGAAAAAGTTTCAGTAATCCTACTGTTTGAAACGCTTACAAACAAAAACATTGGCAGCTAACCTTGCAAAAAATAAATCCAATAAAACAAGGCAGTTTGTCTCAATCAGTAATATTTTTGCTCTTCAGACTGCTTAACTTATTAGTTTCCCCTTTACATGTTCTTTTCTCAACGCTTCACGTTGAGGTGGTGCGTCGATGGCGCAACTCCTCCAACCTCAATTTCCTGTGTGATTAATCAGAGGCCTAGCTTGAAGAAACTTTCACACAAACCATTTCCAGGGTTCTTTTTAACACTGTCGCGCTCTGTCCTTCTCTGGTGAGCCATTCGTTTTAATCTCAACAAATTGTAAAAAATGAGGAACGTAAGAAAATGACAAACTGCAGGTGGGACAGAGGAACCACCAGAGCCTCTCTTCAAAAGTCTGCTCTTTAAGGGCCTGTTTGTCGTCGTTCTTTTCGAGGGTGAGGGAAATTATGGCAGAAAAATTGACGTCACCACAAATCCAAATGAAAAACTTTACAAGGAACAGAGTGACTAAAAATGGTGAAAACCTTGGATCATTTTTTATTGTTAAAGCAGATTGACCAGCGCCACCTAGAGGTGACTTAGTGTTGCTAACACCTAAAAACAGAATGTTCTCTTTGGTTTAAGAAGTGATCATTTTACAGTGTAAAATCTCTGGCAGGTTTGCTATTTTATCAAACCCTCACCAGGCAAAAGTTTGCTCTTAAAGCTGTGATTTGATTTGGAGGCCGGACGTTGGCCTGAGATTGTTGGCTTCTTTGCTCGGGGAGGAGAAAATGACATTAGCCAGAAGGCCAGTGATGCTGGTCTCTGTTTCTGGGCTGGACTGACTGCTGCTTCGACGGCACACAGTGGAATGCAGCAGCAGCTGTCGGGGGTTTGGTGTTAGTATCAACCATCTAATTCCTGGGGGGCAGCGGAGAAATTAGCTCCTAATAGGATTTGAAATCAGATGGCCAGAGACTCTTTGTGGGAGGCTCTAAATTAGTTTTTTTTGTGCGTGTGTATGATTTGGAAAAGGTTGATGTTGGGTAAGGACGACTCTTAACACAAATCTGAGTCATTTAACAATACCAGGGTGTCCGCATCTTCTTGAAAAGTTTCAAATTCATGTGTTTAAAACTAATCCCTTAAAACGTCTTAAACTCATTTAAAGAAACACAAGTTGGCCTTGAACACGTTACCCACAGGTCTTAAATTTCGTCATGGCAGGTCTATTTCTTCTCGTAGGCTGTGTGTAGTCTTTTTGTTTTTCCTGAATCTGCAACTGGTTGGGAGTCTGGTGAATGCTTGAAAAATCTGTAGCTTTAGACGGTCCAGTCAAAGAACGACATGTCGTTGTAGGAGAGCTAAATGCTGTTGTCGGATTTTTTGCTAGTGTGTTTCCGGTCTCATTTGCTATTACTCATTGATTGATTGATCAGTCAAATTACCAATCAATCAAATTTTATTTGTATAGCACATTTCAGAAGCAAGGCATTTCTGAGTGCTTTACATCATAACAAACACAAAAACACAAAGGGTTTTTGCCTTTGCATCCACAAAAGGTTTACTGGTTACACTCCCACTGTGTTATATGGAGCAAAATACCTGTTGGATTTTTTTTTTTTCAGTTAATCACATGCAGACGACGATTAAGTCGTTGTTCTGCTTTATTAACTAAACGATTTGCTTTGAACGGCATAAACTTCAACGTCGCGTGTTTCGGCTGCTTTCGGTCCAGCCGTGGCGGGTCACAGGAAACAGACACAGAGAACTTTATTAGGTCAAACAAATAAACTGGACAGTCACTAACATGCCTTTGCAAATTGTGCACACAATGAAAGTGTGCCGTGCAAATTGCTGCCCTAAAGCTTGCTGGGGTTGAAATCACAGACAAGCACAGGAATTGGGAGCCGAGATTAGACCAGGATTTATTTACTGTTCATTTGAAAATAATGTGAACAAGGCCCTAATCCAGATTTTGGGATTGGAGTGGGCTTCCCCTAGTAATTCATGATTGAGCTGTGAGGCTTGTGCAGCGTGGTTGCAGTTTTAGCACATGCAGATTTATTCAGGGGATCACATCAAAAACCTCTATCAGCTGTATTTTTCCTGAATTTTGTGGGGGGAGGGAACTGCATTGATCTCGTGCAGTTTTTTTTTTTTTTTTAAGTATTTGACTTTCTGATAATTTGAAGTGAGAAAAATCCCACTAAGCAGCTAAAGTACCCTCCCTCTAAATATCTGGCTTCATGCCCCGTCTGTGACCATTTAAAAAGTGGGGAGAGAAAAGTTTTGCATCTGAGAAACGAAACCACAAGCAGGGTCCCCATAAAAGAACGTGGGCGGCTATTTGTGCTCGCGCGGTGCCAGGAGGAATTGACTTGGAGTTAACACCCGCTCCCAGACTGCAGCAGTCACATCACGCCAAACATCTGGCCAACAGCGCTCGTGTTTACATCTCTGCAACCTGCATTTTTTTGAGCCTTTGTCTGAGAGCTGCAGCCGTGCCAGCCTGGGCTCTGCAAGGACGTCCGACCGCTTCGAGGCTCGGCCAGCTACCGTCTCTATGGCCATGGCAGCAATCCCCCCTCGGGTTCCCGAGATCCTCAACGGCCTGAGGTCATCCACGAAGACTGCAGACCGGGGGTTCAAGAGGCAGTAACCGGGAAAAATCACGGACCACTGGATGCTCAGAGCGGTTGTGCGCTCACGGCCAGAAACCTCGTTATTATGCATGGAGAGCAGCGCCGGTGCCACCTCTGTATCTGCAAATAAAACATGGGCAGATCAAAACCGAGAGAATGCGGAGCAGCTTGTGAAGCAGGGAGATATTTCACAGCTTTATTGGGTGAAACATGCTTGTGTGGAAGAGAGAGGGAGGGCTTGATTTTTCACTTTGAAGTAGAGTCATCACAGTGATTAAACGAAAGCCGTCCTAAATGAATCGAGCCGTACGTCATCCCTGAAAAAGAAAATCTATGAAGCGGTGACGGATTCAGCCCGGATGAAGTTGCAATGTTTCGAGGCGATCTGCGCCGCCTCGCTGGGCTTGCAGAAATTTCTTCCTTTTATTTATTTCTGGGGTTTTTTCCCCCCTTTTCTTTAAGCCCTTCTCCAAATTGGAAGCTGCGTCTCGCTCAAGGACCTTACTGCAGATTGCGTCCGCTCATCAGATGTTAAAGGCGGTGAGGCCTTTACGCGTGCGGACAGACAGAGCTCAACCCTCGCCGGTTTGCTGTCTCGTTTTTATCAACATCAAGCCTTGAATCGGCAAAGAAACAATGAGGCCGAAGTTGAATGGGAGTGGACAAATTCAAACATCCCTCCAGGTCTTGCAGAGATCACGCGACCATTACTCAGGTCAGTGTTTTAACGGAGCTGCTGTGTCTCCACCATGAGGCACTTTGCTCTCCAGAAGCTCTCCAACACTTGTGTATTTGGTTTTCAAAATAAAGGCCAAGTATAGCTGTAGTTCGTTACATTTACTGCTTAATATAGGGTTCAATTATTCTAAACACCTGCAGTATGTATCTGATCACTAATTACAGGTTGAAAAAGGTTGGAAAACATGTGGCAAAGGTCATGGGGTCAGAAGTTCAGACTTGTGACAAAGACTGAGGCTTCTGTACCTGGATCACACACTCCATCCTCTTCCATCTTATCTCATCGTCCATTCCCATCAGCCCTGTTTGGGCCGCTTTAATCAAACTCCCAGAAAGTCTAGTAAGTCCGATTCATTTTGGGGAGGTGTGAACGCGCAGTTGAACACCGATGCGGACCAAAACAGCTCTCTGGCCCGCCGAGAAACGCCGGTCTCAGTTTGGTTGAAGTGTTTGGTTCAAAAGCATATGAGGATGCAAGTGGACCGGAGACCACCCAAAAAGCAGAAAGAGGACAATAGGGCAAGGCATTCTGGGTAACTACAATCGAAACAAACTGAAAAAAATAACACATGTTGTAATTCTGGTCCTCAATCGAATCGAGTCTCCCGGTCTATCAGGTGTGAAGACACCTAACGACTCCCTCACTCAGTTTAAAGCACATAACGTATTTGGAAGGATGTTGTAAACTTTATTTCTGGCTGAAACGGTTTTATTTTCAAAATAATCCCATGAAAATCTAAAGGAACTAAAGGAGGTGCTTTTAAAATTTTACCGTCGTGTTCTTCAACTCAGAATACAAATGTTTGACACATTTGTCATAAATAGCTAATAAAATAATTTCTCACTCAGATAAATATTATCAACATGGGGGCAGCATATCCAACATAAGAGACAGGCGTCTCACCAAAGACGCATTATTATTTCTTATCGGGCGTCTGCTACAGTAAATGTGGCTGACTCGATGCTGTTGACTGGAAAACGGGATTTATTAAGCATAAAATGCAAAACTGTAGAGAAGACAGAGTGATCCTGCTGCAGAGGGGTTTGGGAGTTGCTAGGAAACGGCTCTCTGTGCAAGCTTTAATTGCTTGGAGTTATTGATGTCAGCAACGGGGAAGCGGCATGAAGGGGCATTCAGAGTATGAAGCCAGAGGTGTCTAAACTTAGACTGTAAGGGACACCAGAGAAGCGTTTCGTATTGAGTGCGCAGCCTTACTGTAGTTAGTACATCAGTTCGTAGCTGCATGTCGGTCAGATGTCCTTGAATTCCTGCGACGCAAAAATGGGAGTGATGTAAGTCAGCAGGGAATATTGACTTGAAAACGAGGCAAATCAAATAAATCAGAAAAGGAATCAACTCTTCAGATGAGTTAATAATACGTTTAATGTATTTGTGGAGTTCAGCACGTGTGCTTTCTATTCAGATGGCATTCTGGGTAGTGTTGACCTCTCCCATCTGTTTCTGTTGTCTCATTGCAGCTGATTGGCCGCCTGCGCACTCAGCCGACATTCCTACATGACTCTGGACCTCGTCCAGCATTGTTGCCTCTACTAATAAGCTCGGGGAGTTTTTCTAAAACGGTAAAAAAAAAAACCTTGGCAGCCAGTGGAGTGGGAATGAAAAGAGAAGTGAATCCATGGGGGTTTCGAGGAAAGGGACTGGATGTTTAATAGAGTTCATTCTCGAGGTTTTTTTTTTTTTGGCTTGCGTTACTGCTTTTGTTTTTGTCATATTGTCAAATGTTAACTAAAGTGCGGAGTTAACATTTAGTCAGCGTCAGAAAACTATGATGAAACATAAACTTTAGGAATCCTTCCTGAAACTACAATGGGAAAACTTACATTCAGAAAAACGCTCAGAATCTGACAGCTGCATTAATGTGTCCACACAATGCAACTGGGGGTTTAGTCGCAAAGTTACTTTCAGGCAATGATGTTAGCATCATTATAGATCTATAATGTTCCACTTCATTTGGCATATAGCTTAGGTTTCTGTTGTAGGATAGAATAAAAAACTTTCTATTGCTCATGAATTTAAAGGGAACTTTGAAGTGAACTGCTGTTAAGCTAATATGTGTCGCAAGGCATTAGCTTGGGGTTTGAGGCTCACGCTAACGGCAAGCTAGTGGCTAATCCAGGAGAGACTAAGACCAAAACAAACCTCTAACACAACTCTGATCTTAAAAAACGCCAAGACAGTTCATCCAAAGACTATTAAATTTACTTTTAAATCTGTCATGATTGCGTTTAAATACAAAGGTACACAGTCAATGTACCTTTGCATATTCACAGATAAAAATATTGGGAATACACACAAGTGAATAAGTCCAGCCAACTACTGTAAAAGGCCAAAGGGTCAGTGTTGTGTACTTTCCAGGCACAGACTGCCATTTTATAGCTCAAATAAGTAACTATGTTATCTTCAGTTATCATGAACATATAAAAGAAATTTTACTTTGTAAGTTAACACCTTGAAACAGAGCAGAACTGCTCTTTCTGAAACTCCTCCTTCAGGAAGTCACCACAACACGGCTCCTCTATTAACCCTTTAACAACAATTTTACCGGCGTTGCACTGAGAAGTGGCTCCTATGACCTCAGAAGATGAACAGTTTCACCAGGTGTTTGCTAATTGCTGCTGGCTAGTCTGAAGGAGCTGAGTGGTTATGTTAGTGGCGGCTCCTGGTTCCCCCCAGACACTTTGCACAGCTGAATGGTTGGAAATTCACAACATGCGTAAAAGAATCAAATTAATACTCCAGGTATGTTTTGATGAACATTATAACAAGACATAAAGCTAAAAAAAATTTTATTTTGGAAAAATACTGCCCCTTTAATAAAAATTTTCTCTGTCACAGGACAGATGGTAGAAGAAACTCACTGAATCAACAGCCAGTTAAGATTTGCTGCTCTGTGACTTGGAGGCCGCTCCTCTGTAAACATGGCGGCGTTTAGCATCCGGATGCCTGGAATCTCTGGTATGTGTTTGTTAGTTTCTGCGTTTCTGAATGCGCTCCGCAGCAGATTGTTTGGCTCTGGGGCGGGTATTAGGCAAATCAGGTCCAAGGCTCCATATGTTGTGATATAGCAGATGATAAAGAGATTTTTTTTAAAAAGAAGAAATTGATGAAAGTCAGAGTGACACAGCAGAAAGACAGACGGGCTCAGTGACACATTCGTACCTGAGAAGGCGAGTGGCCGTGGATCGGTTCCCGTCTGAATCGGAGGGCAAGGGACCGGTCTGACTGACGGACTAGGAGGAGAAGAGGAAACAGTTTTAGTTTACAGTTTATTTACTCACTGTTTAGATGAATCGGATCAGAACCCTCAGCTGAGCCCCCGCTCTCTGATGAGCCTGTTTTCATCCTGGAATCATGAGAGATTTGGCCGCTTTCGTTTCGCGCCGGACATTTGCTGCCATGTTGACGTTTGATCTTTTAAGATGCAGACTTCAACTACTACCTGTCCTGAGGTCTTTCTAGTTATGCTCAGCTAAATTACATCCAAGTTATAGCTTGTGGCTCAAATTTAGTCCATTATCATAAAGAAAATGAGCAGAAAGTATCTCTGAACAAAAAACAGCACCTTTATTATTATTTGTTGAACACAAAGTACAACTATTGGAAGCCCTGGTAGAGATGGATAAAGAGCACTAAATGAAATCTCACCTACCATAAAACATGGATTACAAAATGACTCAGATTCCCATGGGCCTTGTCAAAGTCAAACAGGAAGTCATGGATTACTGATGAAATATTTTTGGATTCATACTCAGCAGGGGGGGAAAAAAGGACAGCAGTAATTAGAACAAAACGCTTCTTGATATTTTTACCATTCAGCAAATAGAAAGACCATAATTGTGATTTCTGCATTAGATAGTGATTTCTCTTTCCATTTTTTTTTTTTTTTTTGCGCATCTTTACCAGGAAACCCAACAAAAAGCATAAATGCTGACATTCTCATGTCTGCTTGCTGCCGGAAGTTCTATTTTTTTACATTTTTACGGTTTTGTTTTGCTTGTGTCTCGTTTCATCGTCGCCGCACACAGAGAGGGAGGCGAACCTCTGGAGAGCTCTGAGTTCCCCGCTGTCATAAAGAAGGAGGGATTTTCCGCTCCAACGCCACACTTACTATGTTTGCAGTCTCTGCTTGTTTTTTTCCCCCTCAGTGCTTTTCTTCTTTTTTATATTTATAAAATATTTCTGTGTGTAAATTGGGAGTGTTTGGTTTCCCATCCCCAACTTCCATTATGTTTTTTGTACTTTATTTTGTAAGTCCAGCTCTGTCTCTGGTGTCTCTCCAGGGTGTGGTGTGAGGTCGGGGTCCCTCGGCTCTGTTTTTAACACACTCTCTCTGTTTCGTTTCCGTCACGCCGTCGCTCGAATCACGCCGTTCCCCCACTGGTCTTCATCAGCACTCGTTTTTCCACGACTCTTTTCTGCTTCAGAATGTGTTTTGATTTCTTGATGACAGATATACTTCAAAATGAACCCAACATTTAAAGCAAGACAAAAAAAAATATTGCAGAAAATGATATATTATTATTTTTTTTATAAATCTGACTACTAGGCACTCGGTTTGTGCTCTCACTGATTACTGTAAAGGCTTCCACTTGTTTGGCACACACACAAAAAAAAACTTTGCATTTTTATTATTATTTTTATTATTATTTATAAATAATCCAGGATACTGATAACATTGCTCTCATCTATGATCTGTGACTGTCATAAAGTCACTTCTTTTATCGTCCTCATTTCCTTCCAGATCTATAAAGATATCAAAGAAATCTTTACCTCTTTTATTTTTTTGTTTTTCATCTTAACTGCCTGCAAAATCATGTGTTGCAACGTATTGGAAGGATGTTGTTTTTTTCTTTATGCATACATACATGTATTTATATATGAATGTGTGTGCATGTGTGTGTGTGTTTTGAGTTTCATAAAAGAGCTACTCGGTGCACATTATGTATCGTAAACAGAGTTCTAATTTATTTTCTTTGCTTTTTATCCTCTTTAATGTTGTTTTCTTGTCCTTAACCCACTCAGCCAATGAGCTTTTATTGAGCCCAAGTTAAAAATAAATCACTGACTGGTAACTACTGGTTTCCATGTTGATACTGGTTTCAACCCGTTAAGGCTTGATGCAGCATGTAAACAAGCCTGAGGCAGTTCTGGTCATGTGGTGCCTTCGCCGTTTTGTTTCCAGGTAATGGAGCCGCCCAGCGTTTCATTCTGGCCAATCAGACAGATTTTGTTCATTTTGGAAGATTATAATTTATTTAATACGTGTGTTTTTTATGACTCCAACATGTCAGGACCTCTCAGTTATTTTGATTTGATCAGGAGTCAGAATTTGGCATAAAAAAAAAATTATGTCAAATAATCAGAGAATAAAATAAACAAAAGTAATCAGAGAATAAAATAAACAAAAAAACATGAATATAATATTAGGTTAAATTATAGGTGAGGTTTATGTAACTGTTTGTCTTCTTTAATCAAGAAATGGTTAACTAAAGAAAATGCAAACATGTGCAATGGCACATGATTTGTTTGAAATGATTAGTTTCCTCCGGTGCTGGTGTCCGGGGCCAACTTTCTGCTTTCTGACACACTGCAGGCGTGCCTCTGTTATAAATCACATCATTTGCGCCCTGCAAAAACAGCTGTCAAATACTGAAAATGCTGACCAGAAATCATTTTTACTCCATCGTTTGGTGCCCCCTCTAGCGCACCACCCCTATACCTGGTGGTACATTCCCACTATGCCCACAGTTTCCAGTCACAAACTGTGGGCATAGTTCCTTTCTTGAATTTTTTGCTTCAATTATGGAACATATAAAAATATTTAAATTAATCAAAGAATCCAAATCTGTTTTTTGTGACGCAATAAGTTAGCAGGAGTGTGTTTGCCTTTTAAAACAACATACACTGCTATGGAGCTGTGTGGGGATTCCTGCACCCACACACCTGCATACCTAACACTACCCAAAACTCAGTTCACTCCTAAATCTGACCCCTGACCTAAAAACAGCGTTTCCCCTTGTGGGGACCAGGCTTCGGTCCCCACATGGAGCAGACGGTCCCCACAACATAGTGTCAGGAAAATGGTCCCCACAAGGTATTACAAACAAATACACACACGCGCATACACACACACACACAAGCCTTGGCAGTCCAGCTTTGGCAGAAGCCTGGCGCTCAGCGCAGCACTGCCACCCGGTCCCATGTCCTCAGGCCAGAGTTCTGTCCGTGGCCAATCGACTAGCAGGGGCGCCTGCCAGGTCTAATCCTCTCTCCATCCCTCCCACCGGTTTGCCAAATTGACCCGTCGGCTCTTTCTCTGACTAAATGCTGTTTACAGAGCTGGAGCGACAGTTTTTGGAAGCTCTCAGATTGTTTTATTTTGTGCTGCTCTTCATGCTAAAACGATGAGGTGAACTCTTTCAAACGAAGGAAGGATAGAAATTTCTGTTGTTTTGTTTCCGTGCACTGACTGTAATTTTACATCCTTTCTTTCGGTTTTTTCATTTTTTTTTACATCATCGCTGGTGTTTTGGTCACATTTTGGAGTCTTTTTACTGACATTTCACGGGTGACAGGAAGAACTGTATGGGGTGCCGTTTGCAAAGTTGCATAGCAGCACTAATTTAGTTTATGCAATTTGGCTCCAAATTAAACGTTTTCCAAACTAAACATCTAATTTTCAAACCAAATATTTTCTTTCAATCTGAATATATACCTTGTTTGCAAATACTTGGGTTGCTAGCTGAATACTTGTATCAAAATATTTAGGTCCAATTTAAATATTTAATTTTCAAACTTAACATGCTAAAACATGCCAAACTAAATATTTAAGTATTAAGTATAATTTGCATGCCATTTATCAAACATGCAACTTAGTTTGCCGACAAGCAGAAGTTGAATAATTAAAGCTGGGTTTTATAAGCCCTGCTGTGTGTTTCATTCACAATATTTCGCTTGTGAATTAAATACTTTGTTTCTTAGTCGGAACTCTGGCGTTCACAAATTTTGGAATAAAAAGGCGAAAATATGCCTCACACCCACATATTTCATTTTCTCTCCATCAGAGAGAGAAAATAATTTGTTATTGCTCTTAATTTATTTATTTATTCTTTCTGTAGCTTTACAAGCGGCGCTCCATTGAACCGCGTTTGTCGATGTGAGATGTTGTTGGGTTTCTGTACAGTGAGTGGAAACGGAGCCGGTTAGTGCTCAGCTGATCCAACCAAACAGGAACAGAGGGAACGTGCAGAGAAAGCAGGAGGATGAACGTGAACTCGTTCCCTATCAGGAGAACGCCAACAAAAAAAAAAAAGAATAAAAACAAAGCAAACAAACTTTCCCCAAAAGAGAGAGACGCTACTTTTGAATAAAGGATATTTTTCTCCTGGGTGCGGTCACAAAGAAGTGTGTACATTTCTAAGTTAATTGAAAACTGAATCTTATTTGTTCTCTATACGAATGGCTGTATGTTAACCATGAACAAGCAATGAGAGCTACCATTAAAAAAAGAAAATAAATTAAATATGAAAATGTGACATTGTTGGCTTTTTTTCTTCAAAGCATCTGTGGAAATGTTGGTGATAAAAGGTTTCTGTTCTGCAGGTCAGTGATGCGTCATCAGTCAGTCATAACACTAGAGGGCAGCACTGTAAAACACATCAATTCACCTGGATGGGAAACATCACAGGGGCGGAAAAAAATCTGTATTTTTGGATTTACTTCAGCTTAACAAAAATGTTTATACTTAATTCAGCTCACTGAAATTTATATTCAAAATTCAAATAAATTAGCTGTCATGCTAATTAAATAAAGCATTAATGCTAATTAAATAATTAGCATTTAATACATTAAATGCTAATTAATAAATAATTATTAATTTATTAATAATAAATCTGCTTCTTCCAACTCTGGTTGGAAGAAGCAGATTTATTGTTTTTAAATCTAGAATAAATTGTCATCTGTCATCCAACTCTTTTTTAGTTATTACTAATTTGACTTGTTTTTATTCATTTTAATGCTTTGTGTTCTGGTCTGAATACAAGCAAGATTTCAAATGTTCACCAGATAAATGTAAGAAGGTTCAAAACAAACCTTTGGGACAGAGGTTCTCACTTTAGGATGGAGATTTTAACACTTTTCAACAGATGTAAAAACTCACAAAGTGTTGAGTTAATGTAACATTACTGAGTATCACAATTTTGTGTGATTAAAAATCTATTTTCAGCCTGAAATTGTGAATGTGAGGTAAAAACTGACATGTTAAATCAGCCATTTTGTGGACTTTTTCCATTTGTTTTTCACTTTATAAACAGCCAAAGCAATTGGTAGACTGAAAACATTAATTAAATTTAAAATGCAAAAATGAGTGCATTGGTATTTTTTTCTCCCTTTTTTTTTTTTGTTTTACCTTGCATGATAAACAAAACAAATGCGGGGAGGTCATCAGTCGTTTTCCATTTAGTTGGTCAAATTTGTACTTTTCTTGACTTGTGGACAGGAGGGGCCGATCAAAGTCATTTCAAGGGCCACAAATGGCCCACGTGCCACACTTTGGACACCGCTGCTTTACTGTTTTAATATGTTTTTATGGTCACTCATAATAGCATTATTTAGAAAAAAAGAAAGACATTTAAGTAACAAAAATCATCTCACACAAGGAAACCATCAACATCTGGATGTGCAATTGACATAAAAACACAGAAACGAGCGGTGAGAGGGGAATATTAGTTATCGTCATAAAATTCATGTAGAATTGGTCTTTTGTTCGGCTAAAGTGCTGAAATCCCCCTAAGGCGGAGTTAAAATATAATAGACTGCAGGTGATTTTTTTTTTTTATCTTATTCACTGCATTCAGTTTATTTTTTGTGCCAACGATTGTAGATTCTTTCAACACCTCACCGGTAAAATGTTCTTGTCTCTGTTGAATCCATAAGAATCAACCCTAACCCAATAATGAGCCCAACTGATTTGTTTTTTACCTAAGATTTTCATTCACACTCGCTGCCTCACTGCGTATGTGAATCATCAGGAAAGGAATGAAACTGGTATTAATAAATTCTGATCTCAATCTGAAGAAAGACGATAATTTCAACTCTCTGCAGCCGAGGCAGAAAGCAGCTTCAGAGTTTGAGTAGCACTCCAAGAAACGTCTGTGGATGAAACCAGAAGGAGCCAGAGCAGAATCCTGGTGTGAAGTTCAAACAGCTATGCGTAAGAGTTGTGTCTCAGTGCTATCGTTCCCACATCGCCCCACGGTGCACGTCAAGAAAGAGGTGAAATAGAGGCTAAACGCCACTACAAATAGAATGGGTGAAAGCCTGAAACCCAGCATGAAACCTAAAGTATATTTGGTGATTTATAGAAGAGCATTAAAAATACATTTCTCATAGATAGGGATTTTTTATTTTATTTTTGAAAGCATTGCTTGAAATTTAAACTATGTTTCTATGTACAACGATGTGGTAAAATCACTGAGATTGTGGGTAAATGTGTCGTTTCATATCAGTTCGCCTTGCCAACACGGTTTCCATTTGCCGACAACTAGAGTTATGGCAGAGGAGAACTTGTCGAGATTGTTTCTGAGTTACTTTCTTCAAAGTCAGACGTTTACGACGCCTTTTAATGTCACGGAGAAACTTTTGAGGATGCGTGCTCATAAAGAACACTGCTTCCTTCTGGGCATCGATGTAAAAACCTGGAGAAATTATCCCAGATGTCGGGAATAGAGCTGTGGAGAGGAGGAAGAAGAAGTTTTTGGCAAAATTACCTTTGAGACGGGCAAAGTCCCGACGCGTTCCGTCAAACTGGCTACAAAGTGGCTGAACGGCAACAAAGAACCCTTGACCTTAACTTTGAGGCTTTCCGTAAAAGAGCTCGACGGTTTTGTTATGTCAGTCACCCCCATTTCCAAGCGTTCGGAAGGTTTTGACGTTCAAGGCATTTCTAGAAGTTGCGTGGTGAAGTGGTCACGTAATGCTGCGAACGGAGACGCTGACCTCGCTGTGTGAGCGCAGAACAACTCCAACATCGTCATCCTGCTTTAGTTCCTGAGTTACACCATCAGACGGATGGTGAACATACTGGAAGTACACGCTCGGCATGTACATCTGCAGGTAAAACGTGATTTTGTTTTTGACTGTCTCCGTAAACCTCTGTGGCAAAAATCTCGCTGTACGTCCTGTGTGTGCTTTATGAGGTCAAAGTTCAGAAAAATTAACTTAGCTCCTCGGCACCCAAACCTTGTGCTTGTAAGCGTGCTAATGGACCATGACATTACAGCGTAGCGTTTCGTGTTTTGGACGTCCCAGCTAAAGGCTGAACAAAAAACAGTTGGACCTCGGATTACGCCATGTTCTCCAGATTTTGCAGAGTCACTTTTTGGGGTAAGCTGCCTTTCTGTGTGGGTTTGGAAAAGTGGACCGTTCTGGCCTCAGTGATGGCGACCAAAGTAAATGTTAAAAAAAGTGTTAAAGGGGTAATATTATGTATTATCCAGGCACATAGTGTTATTTTACAGCATGTCCAGGTACATTCTGCTATCATGAAAATGCTACAAGAAGCAGATATGACTTAAAAGAAATTTAAGTTATAAGAAGTCTTGGTCTTTCTGGAACTTCGCCTTCAGGAAGTCATCACAACATGGCTCCTCTAGTAACCCATTAATGTTTTTACCAGCGTTGAACTGAGCACTAGCTAGCATACAGAGCTCAGCAGATGTTCAGCTCCACCAGGTGTTTGCTAATTGTTGCTGGCTAGTCTGAAGGAGCTGATTGGGGGAAAAGCTAAAAGAAAAAGTCAACTTTTTAGAATACCTTCCCTTTAACACAAATACAGACAAGTTGTTTTTGTTACTTCTTCTGTCAGAGAAACATCTTCTGATTTGAATTGTATCTAAATAAGTTCAACTTTTCTTAAAATTGCTTTTGGAGAGTTCTTGTTGGAAAATGTAAACATTTCACCGCAGGGAAAACCACATGCTTGTAAATACGGCTTTTGCTGCCAATCCCTTGTTTTAGTCGGCCTTGAGAACATCTAGCAGAATAACACTGTCAGAACAATCGAACGAGATCAAAACTTACGACCCTGTCACGTCGGTTCTAATGCTCAGAAAGAACTGCGACCTCCTGTAGATAAAAAAAAAAAAACAACAACAGCAACAAAAAAACAACCTCTGAGAAGCTGCAGAGCTGCATAAAACCCCTCAGGCTTCAGGCTAAACAGATCTGTGTATTTGTACGTCTACGGCTTTTCAGTAAAGCGCATGGAGGGTTCTGCCACTCGTTCAAATGAGTCTGTAATTTGTGACTCGAGAATTACTAATGTCACGCAGAAGGTTTGAGATCAGTTGTGAAAATAACAACATGTGTGACTGCAGGTTTTAGTTTTTGTTCTTGGAGGCAGGTGACCACAACGTGAACTCAAACACAGTTAAAGACTACTCTCCATAGTCACAGCTTTGCTAATGCCTCACACTTTATGGGACATTGCAAGAAAACCTTCTTTTTCCTAATTTTTGGAAAGTAAAAAAAAAAAAAAAGACATGCTAACTAGAATGTCTGCTTTTAAAGGGCCATGCTCCTCTTTCCTCTCTGCAGTTGGTGTGAGGAACGTCTTCCCCGTTAGGGAAGCGTGTGAGGCTGAAACTCTGCCCCTGGTGGTGACCCAGGGGCAGAGAACAAACCAAAGCAGGACCAAAAAGAGATATTTTCATTTGCTTTTCTTAACATTTGGCTGTCAGTGTTTCTCCTCCCATCTTGTGTTGACAGTCCTCGGTCAACACAGAGGGAAACATCAGCTCACGATCAGCAGGAGGTCAGCAGAAACCTCAGTGAGGTCACGGCCCCTCTCCCTTCTTCAAATCCAACAAATTTGGTGTCAAACGTTTGTGCTGATTTGTGCGGCACAAATTTTCATCTGTGCTGCTGTCATTTTTAAGACATTAATAAAAAAAATTAATTCCAAAGGTCATCTGAGGTCGACCTCCCCAACAAACCCCACATTTACAAAGTCAGACATGGTTGATGTCAATCAGCTCAGCTGCGTTTGTGCAGCTGAGCTGCTGCTATAATTTCAATGACGTTAGTAAATGTTCCCTGAGGTCATAAAAGGTCAACTAGCCCTCCCGTGTTCTTCAATCAGACAAAATCAATGAACTCGATTACATTTGTGCTGCAAAAATGGTTGTTTGTGCTGCTTTTGCTTTGACCCTATTCTAATGAAAGTTTAGAGGTCAAATGATCAATCAATACCTAAGCTTAAAAAACAATGCTGTCAAAGGTTTGTGCAGAAAAAAAATTTACTTTTGCTGCCATCATTTTAAAGATATTAATAAAAATGTTCCCAGAGGTCATCAGAGGTCAACCTCCCAAAAAATGCACACACATTTAGGAAATCAAACATGGTTGGTGCCAATCAGCTCAGCTACATTTGTGCCACACAGATTTTTGTTTTGTGCTGCTTTTGCTTTGAAGATATTTATGATGACCTCTGATGACTCTAATACTTTAAGCTGCTGCACATCTGGGGTGGTTAAAT